TAAGCTTTTTTAGAGAAAGCTCCAGTTATTCAAGAAGCCAGTACGTGCAATAGTTTAGACAGAAATCCTGTACCCGACTATTCGATGCTCCCATTTTTTCTCTCTTCACGCTTTGGTGCTATGATATTGACACTGAAGGAAAACAGGCTGGGCCACGGCAACCATCAGAGAACCGCACCCTTGCTGTTTGCAGCCAGGGCCTGTAGCTGTTCCCAGAGTTGCTTGTATGCCTTCATCTGGCTCATAGAGGCCGTGCTGGCCACATAGGCACGTTGTCACTTTCATTTCCACCTGTGCGTCACATGTCTGGCAGCTGGATATGCTTTAGACAGCAAGCGAGTCTGTCTGTCTCACTCATAGCAGAGGACACCTCAATGGCATCCAAAATTGCACTACAGAATCAGTGATGAATCTTTCGTAAGACACCCGAGAAAACATGTTTGTGACAGTGTGTTACTGAAGAAGGAGCACAGAACATCTGGCCCAAGTCAAGGAAGGAGCTGTTTTCTTCACATCTTACCATCACCAGGCACAACATTTCCCATGCATAAAACCGCTGTTCTCTTCACATCTTACCATCACCAGGCACAGCATTTCCCATGCATAAAACCGCTTGTATATAATTTGGTAAGAGCCGAGAAATTATTTTTTCTTCTTGAGAGAACTGACATGCTTCAAAATACTGGACCAGGTAGGTTTTAAGCATTGTTGAGTATTACAATTATAGTTGGACCTGTGCTGGGTGTATCTTACGACCTCGGTTATTACTCCTTATTTAATATTTGCTTTAAATTAGCTTTAACAATGTATTTCACATGGAGAATTTACATGACTGTCAGTCTTCATGGACAGAAAGTCGACTTCATATTTTAAGTCTAGAAGCAACACAATATTCATTCTAGTTAAGTCCAGCTGCAAGCTAAAGCTCCATTCCAAAGCCTGTTGTTTGCTCTTGGTTACACAGGGGTAGCTGCAAGTTCAGGAAACTATTGATGACAATGCACTGAGTAGAGTCTATTCCCTGATATAATTAAGAAAGACAGAGAGGGCACAAAATCCCTCCATACCACTTGCTATTCCTGAGGGCCACAATGCCCCTAGGTCATGTAAACCATCCCCATTCCATGTATGGTGCTATACATCCCACTTGGAGGCAATACTGTCATAGGTTACGGTGCATTAAGAAAATAAGCAATTGGCAACAAAGAGGATTATTGACAAATTCTAATTCATATAGCTGCGTTCAGGATGGGCATAAAAACTTGGGCAAAACTCTCAGCATCCCCAGCAGACTTCACAAGTCTTACTAGAAGCTTATTTCCCAAACCGATTACACACTGATTAAAATACTGTCTACAGTTGCTATTCATTTATTTTAGTTTAAATGCTGCTTATACTTCTTCCTCTTGTCCACAGTGACTATCCCTTTTTGACTAAGCATGTCCAGGTGACAGCATCTTCCTCTACCAGTTTCCTGAAATTGATAAGAATGCAACAATTCTAACATTTCTCATCAAATGAGAACATCTACTTTTCTCGTTACCATTCTATCCGCTTCCAGAGGACTCATGAAGTCTGAAGAGGGGTTTTCTCCTGCTCATGAGTTCACTCGTATATATCAATAGCAGGCTTGGGTCTGACATTTTGAATTTGTGGCACTCCGCAAAAGTAGCAGCTTTGTACCTGCCCATCTCCCTGCTGTATCTTCCAGCCCTTTTGGGGATCCAGTTTTATACCCCTCCTAATTTCAGGAAGAGAAAGGGGTACAACAGTGGCCATTCTCACCCCAAGTTTGTCTGATTAAAAAAAAAAAAAAAGAAAAGAAAAAGAAAAAGAAAAGAAAGCTCTTACTTCTTTTGCGGTGGGAAGGCAGAGTGCAGAGTAAGCCAGACCTAAAAATAAACTTGGTTTTCTCTTTTACTTATATGTAATTAGAACCCCTTTATTACTACTCACCACCACCTCAGTGGTCATTAGATGAATACATAATATATATTTTTTAGATGTGGCATAAACCAAGAAAGAAATAGTCAGCCTGCATCTAATTTATCCAGTTGATGATTAAAAGGCTGGCCTGAGAGGCTCCAGATATCTAGGGACCCAGAGATAAAACAGCGGTTGCCTGTGTTTTTTTACTAATGAATCCAGGGCTTGGAAAATATCAGGCATTTTCAAAGAAGAGAAGTAAGGCAAGAGACGTCAGACAAGGCCAGTAGGGTAATGAAGAGCAAGGCCAGTTACTGAGAGAGAAAATTACTTCATTTTCTATGATAATGTGCCTTTGTGCTTTGCAGGTTTCCTCTCACGCTTTGTTAGTGTGATGGTATATCTACACAGCGTCCGAATGTTACTCACAGCACAGAAGGAAAGAGCCTTGGAACCTTCCACGGGGGGTAGGGGGGTGGGCAGAGGGCTTGGGTCTACTCTTCTGAAAGGGGAGGCTAAGAGCAATGGCAGCAGAAGGGGGTTAGACTGCAAGGTGAGGACAGTGCTGTGACAGAGGAGTGGGTTGCACAAGGTTAAACCAAGACCAATGGCATGACAAGGAAAAGAAAGAAAAGCAGCAAACACACTCTGGAAATGTGTTTCGGAGACTGGGGTGAATAAAGAAGGGGCCCGGCCCAGGGTCAGTCAGGGGCTGTTTGAGCTGAGCCAGGAGGCCCACGCTGCTCTCTGACGATTTTTCACTGGCTCCAATAACAACAGGGCACTGGGCGCTTGACTCCTCCTCAGATGCTGGTCAGTGGACAAATGTGAGGCATCTTAGACACAATTCCAGAGTATCTTTGGCTCCGACAGCTAGAGCACACGTGTGTTACATTCCCATGAGACAGCTGGCCCGGTGAAAGGAGCACCCGCAGAGGCCCTAGGAAACCCAGACAAATCCAGCATCCCAGCAGATGCCGAACACAAGGATGCGAAGTCATTAAAGCACTAACATCAGGAGACGAAAGAAAGCCAGGAGACCACAGGTTGGGTCAGGTTGAGGGACATCATAGTGAGTAAGAAAAGGAACAGGACTTTTCCAACAGAGAAACATCATCACCAAGTCATACCACACAGTGCTTGGCAAAAGAAAACAAAGTTGGAAACAAATCATGAACAGCAAACAGAATGGTCATTCAGAGAAAGGGGGAATCACAAAATCATAAAAAATCATGGTACGGGGAACATTAAGCTCTGTCGTTTTCGATTTTTGCATAACAACTCATTGGCATTGCCCCGTCAATCTTTAATACCGCAGTTGTCCAAAATCGAACTCTTACTGGACGGGGCAAGGCAAGGAGGTTGGCCATAGCACAAGAACAGCAACCGTGTTAGACACCCATGCAGTCACCTCTGCCACCATCGTCTGACACTATGCAGACTGCTTCCAGCTTCGTCAGTGTTCCTTACAAGGCTCGGAAGAGTGAACAATGCCGAATTTTAAAACAATCTGTCAAAGGGCTAATCAGACTCCTTGAGAGCCTCCATTCCTTAGGGAAGTTGATGAATGGAGAAAATCCATGCTGCCCCTCTCAGTGAAAAGCAGAGAACATGACTACAACCCATGCCTGACCAGAAAGAGTTTCTTCTCCCCAGGCAAAAACAATGGTCTTTTTTTGTTTTGTTTTTGTTTTGAAACTTAAGTTGTCCTTTCTTGAGAGTATAGTCAGGGATGACATATCTGAGGTCTGAAGCCACACATAAATAATGACACATGCTGGGGCATGTCGGGCAGTTTCCCCTTTACTGAATGCTTTCTTAGGATGGTTAAGGACAGATCTCTCTAACTTCAAGAGCCCGATGAGACAAAACCAGCTTTGTTCTTCTTAAAATAGATTTGGAGCGGGACATATGAAGAAGCAGAAGTCTATAGAAGAATAATAAAATCGGCAAACAGGACACATAGAAGAACAGGATAAAAGGGCCATCTTTACCGTTTAGGCCCAGAAACTAGGGCAAGAGAATACATGGAGCTTACAGGCCAAAAGCAGATTAAAAAAGGTATGAAGTAAGAATTAGCATGGGAATCTGTCCAGGAAGGAGTGCACCCAAGGGGGGGGGGTAGAATATGAATGACAAAACTCCAGGAGACACAGGATTGTCCTCCAAGGGTCCCCGGGGATTTCTGACCCTCAAAACTCCAACCACAACTTGGATGGAACTCTTGAAATCATACAGAAATACACAGTTCTGAATGGGGCAGATAGCTCAGCAACATAACCGGGCTTCTGAGCTTTGATTTACAGGACTGTTTGGGGGATAAGTAAAGGCCTCTCTGATTGCAGCTGCAGCTGAAGTAGGGATGTGTTACCAGAAGCAGCAAACAGCTAGGAAAGACATGACATTTCCTGTCTGGAGGCCAACACAGAAAGCAAAGGAGAATTTAGGACGGCTCACAGTAGAGTCCCTTTCATTTAGCGAGGCTTCCTTTCCATTGCAAATGCATAGCAATTCTGCTTGATTAAATAACATATTTTTGTTTCAGCTCTTGTCCTCCAAGGCTGATTACAGTAGTCTGAGGACCACAGGCCTATTCAGATTCTGCTCCATGAGAGAGGGGGCAATGCTAGCAGGAGGGAAAAGACTTGGTCATTATTCCTCAAGTCACTGACTAGCAAGCCTTTTATTTCCATTGCCAAAGCCTGCACAGCATTCCAGCCCATTATGGTGGGGAGAGGGGGGTCTAAAAACTCAGAGCATCAGACTAGGAGAAGTTCAGAGGAGTGGGAGGGGATCTGATGAACAAGCATTTGCTCTAGACCATCTTATGCCTCTCCTGGGGGGAGGAAGCCCTAATGATGTGCTATTTGTTTTGTGTGGTTTCTCCCGGGTCAGAGGACAACTGGGGATCAAGCCTGGTTCAAGCGCTGGGTTGCAGTCTTTTCTGGGATGCTTTCAATCAAGGTGCACAGGAATTTCCTAACGCTCTTAGGATTCAACTGGAAGCAGGTACACAGTCCTCCCCTTTCCCCCACCCCTCTCCCCCAGAGGAAGAGGCACTTCCAAGGCCTTACCCTTCTTGTCCTGGTGGTTATGTGAGGACACTGCCCCCAAAGGGTCTGTGCTGTCGGGTGCCTCGAGCAGGTCGTTCCAGTCCAGCATGCCTCCCCTAGACTCATACCCCTCTCGGGACGCCGAATCTGATGTGCTGGTGCTGGGCAAGAGGGAACTGGAGTGGCCTGTTTTCATCACAAATACAGTTAGGAAAACATCACCGCATACTGCATTCCCTTTGCTCAGAGGCCAGGAGATAGGACACCCATGATGAACTCAAGACTGGGGGTATGCCTTAGCAATGACAAGGCTTGCTGGAAGGTGTCTGTGCTCAGAAGAAGATCATCTGAATTTGTAGTTAAAGGACTCAATGGCCAGAGTCTGCCTCAGCCACAAACTGGGTGAGCCTTGGAAATCACTTGCCCTGTCCTTTGCCACACCATAGGGACAATGACCCCTCCCAGCCCTGGGAAGATAAAATAGCACAGTAGTTAAAGTGTCCCAGTGCCTGATCCATAGATGTTCAAGGATACTAGCATTCTTTCCTAGAATACTTCCCATGTAGTGTGAAAGGTATTCTAGAAACACGGTTTGTGACTGATGGGGCATTAATGGCAGTGGAGGACCTTTTCCACCACAAATAACTTAGCCTATCTCAAACCCTTCCCAGCAGCGCTCCATCCACGGTGTGTCTGTCTAGTGCTCAGGTTCAGCTGACATCATGGGCATTCCCCATTCTGGGAGATGCTCTCTTTCCTAAGGAATCCACTCCCACTTCTTCAGCATGGAAGCCTCCTCTGCTACCTGGAGTTATGGACGTACCTTCTGTGTTGAAAGCTGATTTCTGAGTTTTATAACTCAGATTTATGAGATATTGCTTTTGTAGCCTCGTTGACTGAGAAGGTTAAACTAGAAAAAGGTGCATTTCAATCTTGGATGTGGCCCAGCATGGGATAGTGCCAGAAGGCAGGTGAGGCTGGGAGTCGTGGCAGATACACTAGATATTTCCTAGGAGCACTCTTAGAAGCTTGCTCCCCATCATGCCCAAGATTAAATGAAGATTGAATTGGATCCTTTCATCTCGGCTGTCAAAATGATTTAAATAAGCCTGATTAGCAGTCCTCTCATGCAGACATAAAATACAGCCTCTGTGACTTTTTGAGTGGATTATTAAACCATCTTGCCTAAAGTAACATCTTGAGCACGCACACACACACACACACACACACACACACACACACACACACACACACACACACAAAAATAAGGATCACTGAGCGTCCTAGCTCATGCCGGTAATCCCAACACTTGGGAGACTGAGGCAGGAGATTTACTCTGAGCCTGGGAAAGAAACCAAGATAGATACGGTATGTGTACAATCATTGTCTTTGGTACCAAAGAGAATAGACTCAGAGTAATTTTAAAAATCCTAGTCCCAGGAAATGGTCACCTTGAACATGATAAATAAAACACGGGCCACCAGAAAGATTGATCCTAGTGATAAATGCATCCCATCTCTCTCTATTCGTTTAATCTGTAGTTATCATTAGAAGATGGAGTCCCAGGAGACTTTAAGATTACAAATTGAAAACAATGTGTTTTAAAAATAGCATTCATCTTGAACTTCTCCTGCTGGGGAAAAGCGAGCCAAGAGAAGAGGTTCACAGAAGCAGTGATGACATCATTGGAGCCACCACACCTGAATGCTGCCACAAAGCTTCGGTAACATTTGAGAAGTCTCTCTCAGTCTAGAACCTGAGTGCTTCCCACACAGCTGCCAACATCTGTTTTGTTGAAAATAGTCTGCTTCTCAGCCCACAGCTAAGAATATGCTCATTTAAAGCTCAAGGGATGTTTGATTTTCTAGACATTGCCTTTCTGAGTTCTGCATCCCATTTAATGCGGATAAGAGAATAAGGTCGAGAGAAATAAGTCTGAGAAATGGAAAAGAGAATTTTCTTCCTGCTTACTTCCATGCCTAAACTCAAGACTACTAAAGAAAAGAAAAATATGGCCAGCCTAAAATATAACTCAGCATCCAACATAAGAAAACAAATAGAAATAGTTTTGCAGGTGATAGGCAGGTGGGGTGGGGATTGTGCTCCCCTTCAAGTAGCAAGAATTTCTTCTACCTGAATTGACAGGCATTTTGAGCACTTTCAATTTAACTGTGTTCAAGGGGCAATTTTATGGTAATGCCATAAGTATGGTTTAGTGAGAACATTTCTTAACATGGTAATCCAGGGGAAATATATGCCTAAGGGACACATTTTCTGTAGAAAGATTTCCTGGACCATATGCTACAAGATACATGGTAAACTCATTGGTGATGGAAAGCTATGGCTATGAGAGGAAATTAATGTGGACCAGATGGTGGTTAGGTAGGAAAATGCTCTACACAAATGTGAGAAAATCAGCCTCTTCATATCTTTGAAGTGTTAGTCTAATACACACCTCATCTCGATTTTCTGTATGTAAATCTAGAGAAACTATGCATCTGATTTACTCAAAAAAAAAAAAAAAAAAAAAAAAAAAAAGCTTTGCAATCTTTTAAACTTGTGCTTAAGGACAGAAAGCACAGGCCAGTGATGGATTAGAGAAAATAGTTGATCCTCAAACAGTTTAGAGGTACCAGGTGAGAGTATGCCTCTGTGAGCAAGCAAGGTGAGTATTCTTACAACTCTCCATGCTTTAAGCACATCTGCTAGAAATCACAGAATGGCTTATGGATGTGGTATTGCATGTCAATATATTTGCTGTAATCATGCAGTCCAATAGGAGAGGTCACATTTAATTAATGGATGGAACGTATGCTCTGATAGTCTTCGAAGAAAAAACTACAGCTGTACTTGAAAAGTTAACTTTCATGCATCATGTTGTTTCTCTACATCTACAAGTCACTGTGATTCTAGAGGTTAGATACCCTTCCCACTACTCTAAGTGTTAGCAATGATAGTAGTGGGTTAGACATAAAAGGGACACTAATTCAATACAGAGAGGAGGAGAGAGAGAGAAAACAGTCGGGGCCCAATTCACTAAAAAGAGTTCTTGCACATGTGACTGGTGCTACCTATACATTAGCCAACAGAAAGCTGGCACAGTGCACTAAAATGACCCCTTTACCTGAGAAAGGAAATTCCATTTTTGTGGTTTGTTCTGTGGGCCTAAATTAGCCAGGAAGTGCATGACAGACCGAGGACACAACTACTAGCAGTGTGGGTACATTTTGGACTGTCTTTGTCATCTATATTCATGCCCATAGAGGTGGCCATTTGGTCATTCTTCGGCTACAAATCTTGCATGTGCTCCAGTGGCTGGCAGATAGCAGTCACTCAACAAATAGTTGTTGAATGAATGAATTAAATATTTTCTCAGTTAATGCGAAGATAATCATCAGTTATGAGAATATATATGTACTGTCTAGAGTATCACTCTTGCTTTTTTCTTTAAAAAGTATATTATGTTTTCCCTCCAGAGGAAGTCTCTCTCTATGCCCTCTTAGCAATTTCCTGACCTCTGAGGTGTACCTCCACTCATTTTGATGGCCAATTAGTCACCTAACCACTGCACACCGAACAGCTCCTACCTGCAATGGGCAGCATCAGAAGCTGAAGGGAAAGCCCTACTCTTTTTTGGTTTCCTTACAGAAGCTTCGGGGCAAGAGCTCACAACAACTGGACATTGTCCTTTAAAGGATTAATTTTTCAATTAACATATGGAAAGATTAATGAATGCCTACTCTTTGAGGAGGAAATGAAAGATCCACTTGCTTGAAGAGTGACATTCCAGAACTTGATTATATGTTCAAAGAATTCCCTGGGAGTTAAAATTATCAAACTAGTTTCAAGGTCTGGGTTTCTTAACATGTGATAAAAACTATTCAGTTATAGGCGACGATGCAAAGTCTGACATGGCAGAAGAACAGATGCTAAGCGCTTTGTAGTGAGATAGTCCTTCTGTGGCACTGACCACGCCCATTGGGGGTGGAGCCATGGGCGGAAGTGACCTGTGGAAGGAGGTCGGAGGGGGCCAGGAAAGGCGCTCTCTTTCTGGCGTGACTCGGTCAGGAGAGGATCGGGTTGAATTTCCTGGTGTTCATCTGTCTAGGTTGTAAGTTATTTCTCCCTGAATAAACATCTATTCGGCCTATTTGTTTATCCTGATTCTTATTTACCGCGATAGCGCTTTCCTTCCTGAAGGTTAAGGTTAAGCTAGATGACATGTGCCTTTTGAGCAATTTTCTCCTGGTCTGTGTTCAGTATTCTGGTTTGAATCATAGATGAGAGGATGTCAAAGATGGAGAAATCCTGTGGACTTGTCCGTCCCAATATGCCTCACATCATGAGGGACTGGACAGGAAGCATATTGCACAGCTCTCGCTTTTAAGACAGTCTTGAAGACTTCAATAAGCCTTCTAATTTATGATAATAGGTCTCAGGGATTGAAAATTTACACAGCGCGACTGAGCACATTTGTAGACAACTTGACTTCTTTGCATCCTACATCTTGTGTTTTCCTCTTCTTTTCAGTACCCTCCATTTTAACCTACCCTTATATTTGTCCATTTTGACCTACCCTTATATTTGAAGTTCACCCCCTTTGTTGTATATCTCAAACACAAAAACTATTAAGTGATGGGACTCCTGGTCCAAATTAAAATGCAAAAGCGTAAATTTGATACCACAGAGATGTTTTCATATTATGTTTTGGAAAACACATTCAATCATTTAACTTAATAGACATTTGGGGATTTATCTTAAAAACAAAACAAAACAAAAATGAAACAGCTGCATTTTGGTTTGCACGTGAAGAAGTCAGGATACTTCCTGATCTCCCACCAGGGCCTGTGTCTTTCAGGCAGAGAACAATGGGAGAAATCCTGTTTGGACACTGAGCCCTCTGCCTCACACTTCATCATATGAGTCTTGAAGAAATCAGCCTGGAACGTTTAAATGTTCACACTCTTTCTGAGCTTAAATTTTGTTGGTGGGCTTCATGCTACACTACATGTGTTTGCCTCAAAGACCCTAGTGGCTGCACCCTATCTGGGAATTCTGCTGTGGGGGAGGTTATACTGACAGCCAGGATTGGGGAGATATGGAAGGGCTACTGTTTGTGAGTTGGAGTCACTGTTCTTTTGTCTTGAATTTCCTGATACACAAGCATATTCAAGAACAAGGAATTTCTTTTTGCTTGAGAATCCATTAGCTGTATTTAGCAAATTCTTGAACATTGGCATGTTTCATAGTATATAGATTCAATATCTAAGAGTTGTTCTCCCTTATCAACTGTGCTGGATAAGCAGAGTGATTTTTTTTTTTCTTTTTTAAGCATACTGAAATTTAGAAATAAGTTTAGTGAATTGGGGCCCCAGAGTGACAAAGAATCTGGTCTACGATTAGGAATGAAAACTACAAACTACCAAAGGATGAGTAACTTTAAGTATTAATATTGATATGTATATGTATATATATCAATAAACTGACCATACACTGTGTTGAAAGACATTTCATAATCTGGTAGAGGAGTTGAAATGTCTATAAAAAATGAGGATAAAAATCAATTAAAAAGAAACCTAAGGTTTAAAAATACTCAGGTGGATTAGTGCAATAGATTTCCATGAACATGAAATTATGACAGTAACATCTTCCTTACCATTCAGTGCCACGAAGGAATCTGAAAGACAAAAGTGGGGAGGTGGTTACTTAACTGCACACACTCTTAGTGTGGCTTACAGTGAGGGAGGATAAGCTAATGAGAACTGGGCCAATGGGGAAGCCCCAATACCAGAAAACATTCATCACTTCCTGCCTGTAACCTACTTGGTCCAATGTCCTATCTCCAGTTTTCTTCTACTCGTGAGTTTACCCCCAAAGTCACTGCTAACAGGCAGAGGAAATGATCACTGTAATGACAGTATGAGAGTCAGGCGGGCAAGCTCAACTTTGTACTAAAGGGGAGTGGCTGTGGATAAAGTAAGCCCGCCACATCTGTAAGAAAGAAGTCTTCTTCACGCTGTCTTGTTTCATCCTTATGAATGAACCGAGGGAACGGGCCAGTATCACAATCTGTGATGCTCTGAACTCATCGACAGGTTTAGCTTGGAAAGCCACATTTGTAAGCTTATGTGCTGATGCCTTGGTTAGACCACTGGTTCACCAAACACTGGCTCTCTGTGACTTTTCTAAAAGTCCTGTCAAAGTCAGGGCAGCAATTATGCAAATGTCCTCTGAATAGAGACATGTGCACAAGTATGTCTGATGGAAGCTGTTCCCATTCTGGCAGGAGCATGAGGAGAGGAGAAGCCATCAGGACAGGGGGCAGGCAGAAGCGTAGCCTCACCTTCTGTCCTGAGTGGGGACCTCAGAATGGGGTAAAGGGTGAAGCATGAAGGAAACAGGCTTTACAGCTGATCCTGAGCTTAAAGACTAAATCCCTAAATTGGAACCTCCCACTTTACATATATTTGTTCTCTTAGGTGTCTTTGTTGTCATGTGTGGACACTTAAAGACACAGTAGCAATCTACCAGCATCTTCTTTGTGTATTTCCTGATTCAAGCCAAATCTATGTTCCTATTTTTCTACAGATGCTTATACCACCAGATCACAAAATGTGACTAAAATGTTTTCTAAAGCTAACTTAAGTATCTGTAACACCCCCATAACAACCACCCCCCAAAACCTGTCTTTCCACAACAGAAACTACAAGGCACAAGATAATTAAGGTGGAATGACTGAACTTCAAACCATTTTATTGATATGGCTGAATAATCGCACACATGGTATAGACGTTTGGGTGATAACATATCTCCTACACCAATTTTGATATGTAACTGTTTCATTTAAAGATACCACAAATAAAAATGTTGGCCACATATTTTACTAATAAGTCAAATTATTCAGGGTCAGGAACTTGTAGATAAGGCTGACAATTGCCTTCTTTATTTGATTATTCTGTATGCAAAAGCATATGATAGAAAGTTGAGTGCTAACCTAGCCTGAAATTTCATTACTGGTGACTTAATGACTTGAACTTATATCCATGATCTTTATTATGGAGTCAAATACTATTAGTCACTCAGTTTTGCTCTAATAAGTGCTGTTTTTCAGTGCCATTTTGAACGATAGTTTCAAAAATTGCGAACTAGGTGACTCTCCTTTAAAAAGCCCTCACCCATGTTTTCAGATCTGTCCTAGCCTTTTCCTGAATGGCTTCCTTTTTCTTTAACTAGTGTTTAAGAGACTGTGATAAATCTCTTAATAAATTCTAATCCTGCTTGAAGAAAAAAAAAACAACTAACTGAACCTATTTTTCCTAAGAGCATAACATTAATATTTAGGTTTATACCATTTACAACATTTTCAGGAGAATCCTGATATTGACCAGATCATAAGACAACTGGACAGAGTTCTGAAATCTCTTATAGAAACTTCTAAGTAAAATGTTGCCACTTAATAGTATGTGACATGAACTCTGGGAATGACACTGTAGGTTAATTTCTACATTTAGAATTGCTTTATGCTCATGGGTTATTAAGTTTGTTCCTATCTCAAATGGTTTCATACACACACACACAAACACACACAATTTTGAAAAATAATTACTTTCATTGGCAAATATGTTAAAGAACACTAAAACAGTCCTACTCAATTAAAAGCAAGAGCACAGTGGTTAAACTTTTGATTATTTGACTAAAATGCAGTATAATAGCACATTATGAAAAACAACTGTCATTTTTGTAATAGAAGTACTGACATAACTTACTGCTTTGCTATAATTAATATCCTCAGCACTATAATAATGAGAGGGAGAGGTGCCCACATTTACAGCAATAACCCTGGCAGTGTTGGCTTCCACACACAGCTGCATTGAGTTCTCCATGTGGTGTGGTGCTTCTAGACCATTCGATAACAACATTTTTATCTGTAAGCAAATATAGATTTACTTACTGTGACAGTCTCCTAGGCCATCTGTATTGCCACGTTCTATGTCCTGTTCAAAAGCCAGCCTTTTTAAAATATAGGAGGACAAGGAAAGAAAAAAAAAAATAATACAATGCCATGAGTAATCACTCAGAAATGAGTCTTTAGTTTCATTACAAAAGTGACCAGAGCTGCATGGTGGTGGCGCCCACCTTTAATCCCAGCACTCGGGAGACAGAGGCAGGCGAATCTCTGTGAGTTCGAGGCCACTCTGGTCTACAAAGCTATACAGAGAAACCCTGTCTCAAAACAAAAAGCAAACAAACAAACAAAGACGTGTTTGCTTAGCCCAGTGGCTGCAATAAGAGAAACAGCACTCTGATGGTTACATAAGTGAGTTTTCTGTGACGCTCCAAAGAGAAGCTTTGATGGTAGTGAATTCAGACCTTATGTAGGAAGTTAATAAGCTTGAGGCCCTTCTTATCCTCCCCTCCTCTGGTTCCTTAACAACTACTTAAACATTTGGAAAGTTTTCATGCTACAGCTTGCTCCTCATATAAGCAATATGGGAAGTGTAGATTGAAGGGCCGGGTCCTTTCTGCTTCTGCTTTCACTGTTATCCTTGCTTCCACAAGCCCTCTTTTCTATCCCCTTGCCTACAAAAGACATATGACCAGTGTTTAAAGTCACAAGCGGCCAGAGAGCATGTGGAGCCCATGAGAGGGTGGAGCCTGGTTGCGATCATGCATTCTCCCTGTTCTTTCCCATCCCCAGCACTCCTTTCCTCCTCCTCCATTCCTGGCCATCACCATTCAGTTTTCAAACAAGGACACTAGATTTGTCCACGGGAAGAGTGTCCTTCGGGAGAACTTTGTGCTTCTAAAATGTAATTGAAAGTTCTGATTTGTGGCTGCCTCACAGGGTATCATGAACCTCAGAAGAACACTGCTTTGAAAATCACACCTTGATCTAATAATCCGTATTTAGCCTCTAATGTCTTTGGCTACTATGAAAATTAAATTCATCCTCTAAGGATATGGGTTTCTCGTAATGAAAGCCAGTATCCATCAGTCTCCAAGCCCAGATCTCCCAGCAGAGCTCCATATGTGGTGGGTAGTGTCTATGGCCCTCAAATATGGTACAGGCTTTAAAGGCAGTCTCTGGGAGTTCTGATAGTAACTTTAAAATAGTTTATAAAAACCGTGTTTCCTTTGGTCAGGTTTTGAACACAGGACAACAGATGAGCCTTATCTCAGCCCCGCCATCCCTCCCTGATTCTTTCTGCTCCACCATGAGGATTTTCATGAAAAGACCCAAGTTCTATCAATTCTATCAAAAGTCAGCAGAGCTACCTTCAAAGCTGTGCTAACTGATGCCTGGTGGGTCATGTGCAGCCCCGGGGCTTTTGGATCACCTTTTACAGTTACCATTAGCTCTCTCAAGAGAATACCTCTGAAATTATATGGATGGTGGTCACCAAATGGGCTCTCCTAGTTGCCTAGCTATTTTAAAAGGAGAAAGGCTGCTTCTAGCTAGGAATAGCTCTGTTTCACTGGTAGGGCTGTGGAAGCTCTTTTGTTGAAGGAGAGCCCTGGACTGCCCTGAACACCTCACTTGCATTGTCCACAACTTCTCTGAGGTATGCTTTGAATATTTTTTCCAAACGTTATTTTAGATTTCACATCCACTGAAGTTTAAAAAAAAATCACAGGCAGAGCAGAGGGGCTTGATCTAGGGGACCAGTTGGGAAATTGCCAAACATTGATTGTGTGTCTAATGAGTATTAAGGTTTGTTCAGCATAGGATAAAGCTTTATTGGATGTGGACACCATGCTTGAAGCATGATCACGTGGGTTAACAAACACTGATGGTTAACACTCTGATGTTTTTTTTCCTCAGCCGTGTATGGTCAATGAGCAGAGTCATTTTGCCATGACTGGACAATCCATCCACTAATCTATTGGTACCCATTGGCTCCTTTCTCTGCAGTCCTCAAACCATGATGCTTAAGGCGTGCATGTGCATGTCCCACATTCTAGGGAATACTTTGGAAGCCCATTGTGCTTCCTTTCTGTGTTCTTAACTAGTTCTTAGTCTAGTCTGAGGGGGATTATCCCGTGGACACTCTGTCATGTGTGGTGCCGAGACTCTGAACTGAGTTGAGGATAGAGAAGGCACCATCCCTGCTGATGGTTTGAGGGAACACAGGCAAGCCCACATCTAGCATGAAGAGTGATAGAGGCGCTATGCCCTCCCAACCCTCAGGATCCTTACCTGCTAAGGGGTGACAGATGGGCACAGGAACCACTGTCCTTCACCCACCCACAGTATGGGTCTCTGGAGGCGATACAGGTTCTGCAGGAAAAGGATGACTGTTAGACACCCAGGATTGCTTTCTAACTACTATGGATTTTCCAACTGTCAATGAGGAGGCAAAATACATACTTTTTACACTTCCCATGTCGTTCACACCGGCCAAGAGGCACCTTTATCACACAGGTAGAGAATGCAACATACAGTGAGCCACTTGCTCTGTCGAGCTGCATGCCCATAATCCTTTTGTCTTCCACGCCATCATAGCTGCACCTAGGTTTGTGAGGTAGGAGGAGACCATTAGTAGATTCTTAGGGATCACTTTCTTTCCCCTGCCACCACTAACCTCCTGATCTAAGACACCTATGGGGACATCCTACATGAGCAGCTATAGTCATAACATTATTGACAAGGAAAACTAATGCTCAGTATTTTTCAGAGATAGTGTGAAAAGTAACCAAAAACTGCATAAACTACTTTGTCTGCCAAGATTTTCTATGAGCAGAAAGGGTTGCAGTAACATGACAAAAAATTACCAAGAAAGGACTCAATGTTTGACTCACTTTTCTGGGTTGTAAACATTCATCTCCTCCAGGAAAAGGCTGCCATTTAGGAAACCACTGCTTCCTATCCTGGCCAAGAACTTCAAGATGATTCCCTTTTCTGATCCCAGGAAAACCACAGTGTGATTCTGATATGGCCCAGCAGCGTTGTCTACTGCAATTTTGGTCAGGCGGTATCTAAAATGACAGGATCACGTTTGGGGAGAAAAAAGAAAGACTCTTTGTCAGTCTATCATTAACGGTCCCCTTTCCACTTCAAACAGCTGTGACACAGCTTTCTAGTAACAATGTCAAGAGAAATATATGCATGTAAGTAATGCTCTCAAGCTGTTCTGGTCCTTTAATTTCATATGCAGGACATTAGTATAGCTCCAACAGGGAGAAGGAAGTATGTGTGTACAGAGGCCAAGTTCCATAATAAATAAATATCCATAACCATATGAAACCACTCAGCAATGATGCCTTCCATGAGCAATAAGGGAAAACTGATGGTACCAAGGGAGGGGGCAGGCATAAGAAGGGATCGTGCTTAGCGTTCTTTTTGACATCGAGAAGGAACGCAGTGGACTGTATTTGCCATACTTTCCCTAGGAGGCACTCCACATTTATCAACGAGATACAAGATTAGAGAACGCTTTGATCATGCACACAGGAGCAAGGAGGGTCCTGAAGGTCTCAAAGCAGTACTAATATCAGGACATGCAAAGCAAACCACATTTGGTAAGAGAAGAGACAAACACAGAATTAAGGTCTAGTGGATATGCTCTTTCTATGAAATTTTTCAGTCATTCCACCTTTCACGGATACTTGTTTGCCCTAAGTACCAAAACAGGAACTAGGAAACACCAGGCTTCCTCTAAGTAATAGGCCATGGTTGCTAGGGTATAGTCAAGCGACTTCATAGTTCAATAAAAGCCAGGGGATTAAAATTGGGGTAAGCTTACAATTTTCTGTGATTGACAGCCATAGTCTAGAAAAAGCCTGCTGCATCATTTGAAAGCTCCCATCACAAAGGATATTGGATGCTATCAGAGACCTCCAATCAGCCACTGCTCTGCTTGTACTACTTCAGATAGCAAATACTAAGGTGTAACTCCTTCGTGCTGGCATGCCGTTACAAATGCAGTTGTGCCAGCAACTCAAATCATGTGTCACCAAGCAGGTAACCTCTTCTTCTCATGGTCCTCCCTCACCATTCTTTTGCACCACGCAGACTGATTTAATACTAAACTATTCTGGAAGGAAATATTTTTCTGTCTTCTAATTGCTGGCACGTGCAGTACTGGCCTGAAAATCCTGGCACTCTTCTCACTGGGAATACAGTGATGGGGATTTGGTGGCATCTACCCAGCCCGTCAACATTTCCTAGCTGAATCAACGCCCAGGACAGCAGAAGATGTTTGTGGCATTTCAAAGCATTCTCTACTGACAGCATCCTTGAGCACAAGATAAAGCCAAGAAAAGCCATGTAGGACATGTTTTGCTGGACACCCACCTGACCATCGTTCTCAGGAACCAGGGTCGGTTGATGATGGAAGGTACTGCCTCGTCCATGAGTGGATGTGTCTTAATGAAGTTCAGGGTGTCATCAGGGAACTCATTGGAGGTTGCATATCGTTCTAAAGATGATGAGCCGGCACAACAACCTGGCCTAAAATGAGACAAAGGGTGGAGGGGGGTGGCTGTTATTTTGTGACTTCTGGCAAATTCTTTGAATGAACTGCTTCCCTAAGCATCTGGCATGAAGGAGGCTGCACCGCAGGCAGCAAAGAGGAAGTTGAACAATGCAGAATGCCACCAAGAACAATATGCTGAGATTTCCTCTGGACCGCCTCCTCGTTCTGTGAAGAGGTTTTAGCTGGTACAGCTCAGTTTCATCTCCACGCAGTTTGGCTTCCTTCCAGGTGCACAAACAAACCCCAGTGAACAGATATGGAGCTGGAACTGAGTGAGTGAGTGAGTGAGCGAGCGAGCGAGCAAGCGAGCGAGCGAGCGGGGCTGTGCATGCCAGGGGTGCTTTGTCCTGTAGGTCAACACAATACAAAGTTAGACATGCCTGGGAAGAAAGAGCCTCAGCTGTAGTCGGCTCTATCACACTGGGCTGGGGGCTTGTCTGTGACGCATTTTCTTAATTGGTCATTGATGTAGGAGGGTCCTGCACACTGTGGATGGTGTCACCTCTAGGCAAGTGAGCCCAGACTGTGTAAGAGCCCAGAATGGGCAAACTAGAGGAGGCAAGCCAGTAAGCAGTGGTTTCTGTGTCAACATCCTGCCTTAGCTTCCTGTGTCGGCTTCCCCTGATGATAGACTATACTATAATAAACTCTCCCTAAGTTGCTTTCAGTCATAGCGTTTATCACAGCAACAGAAAGCAAACTAGAACACCTTGCTGGACGTTCCAGACACAATGGTTCTCAACCCTCCTACTGCTGTGACCCTTTAATACAGCTCCTCCTGTTGTGGTGAGCCCCAACCATACGATGATTTTCATTACTACTTCGTAACTGTTATTTTGCTACTGTTATGAATTGTAATGTAAATATATGATATGTGTCTCCCCCCACCAAAGGGGTCATAGCCCACAAGTTGAGAATCACTGTTCTCAAAGGAGGGGATTGGGCTAACATTTTCACAAGCATGGAAAACAGAGATTCTCAGTCACCGGGGCTCACACCCACAAGACTACATGTTACAACCTCTGAGAGTATATTAGTTCACGATTCAGTTTTATTTTCGTTTGTTGTGAGATTTGGGCAGGTCTAAAAAACCAGCTATATGAAAGAGCTTTTCCTGAAAGACCAGCTCCTTACAACTGAATAGAGATTGTGAAAGTGAAGTTTGCAAGAAATTCTGCGGTTTGGGAGTTACGGGGAAATCTCAGCAAAGTCAGATGAGAGAATACTGAAGTCTGGGGTCTAGACACCCAGCTGCCTGCTTGTGCGGAAGAGGAAACTGTGTTCCGCTACACAACCTTTTCCCCATGCCATGTAGCTACAACCAGACAGCCCTCCTCAATCAGCCTATTTGCAAAAGGGCATGAAACAAACATATGGAAGCATGTGGGTAAACACATGGACATGGGAGAAAAATCCATTAACACATGTCCTTGTAATGCCTGAGTGACACCATATTCATACACCAAGATGTATATGTATATGTCCTTCCTAAAAATTAGTATTTCCTTTGTAACTCCCTTACTTGCTTATTCAGAAGGTGAGGAACAGTCCTGGATTGAGTCTGCCTTGAACAGAGAAGGAACATGCCAGGCAATTCAGCTGACAGAAAAGGATGGCTGGCCACTTGGGCTTCTTTGGTTCCTAATATCTTAAGCTGGTTCAATAAAATATACTTGTAGGTATTTTGGTAGAGGTTGACTAGGAGGCCAAGGAAGAACACTAGAAAACAAAGAAGCTAGGAAGACAGAATTCAGCAGAGAGATTTCCATGTAACTCAGATCACAAAGGAAGGTGTGGAGTGTGTGCCACATAAAGTTGGCAAACATGGGGTCAGGATAGGAGATATGTTCTTCCACAGTTAGCTATTTAATGGGAGCATGTGAAGAGATTTGATAGAGCTAAAAAAGTTTCTGCAGTGTCTCTGAGTCGTGAGCTTCTATGTGAGAAGGTCTAGGAAGGGCTAGCACTCTGTTGTAGACAAGCAACCCAATGTACCAAGTAAACAAGTATTACCCTTGACCTGGCACCCTGGACTCAACTCTGATCCCACTTGTTGCCCAACATCAAGGAATTATCATTTATATATTCACATTTTATTGGGATTAAAGAGTTCATATAAAAGCAGAGGGAGGCACAGCAGAGGTACCTCTCTAGTTATATGAACTTGCATACTGTCTGGTCCTTAAATTTCCTTCCTATAGACCAATGGGACTAGCTCTAGCAGATGACTCCTATCACCTATTTTACTGGGCAAGCCACATTTACAGAGGTTAAGCAGAAGATTAAAGTCTTGATTTGTAGGTACTAAAGATTACTTTGGGTTCTGGTAAAAAGGATGAATGCAAATGGTCATGAGGGTCTTTCTGTTGTTCTTGGATCTCTATCTGCCTGGCTTGTGATGCAAGGTACCAGTGTATGGTCCACAGGATGCCCACTGTCAGAGAAGTCAGCTTCACCATGAATAAATAAGTATTTGCATGTACCTGGGTTTAGGGACTCGCTCATCTGGAACTGGTGTCCAAGTAGAATCGGGAGATTTCTGTTCCTTGAATCTCCCAGTAAAAACATTGGCAATGTCAAGCATGTCATAGGCACAAACTGCAGACCCAGGGATGCTGCAAAAGATGTTTCACACAAAATGTTACTCACATAACTGTTATAAATTCCATTGGAAAACATACTCTGAAGAAATTTAAAGTCAATACCCTGAGCACTACAAAAAAAGGGATCATAAGTGTAAAGAGAATGTGTCTGCCAATCAAATGTATCACAGTCTTAAAGAATACATTAGTTAGCACAAGAAACTTGTGAGGAGGAAGGGAGCCCATCATTTCTTCATTGCCTCTTGAGCCCCCTTTCCTTATGGGGGAGAATTATGAGCTGGTTAAAGAAGTTTTGTAAACGCCACAGACAACAGGGACCTACCTTTAGTAGCTAGATCACACTTTAGGATGGAGATGAATATAATAAATTCAGAGCAAGCCAGTGAGAGATGTGCATGATTTAGCACAAGGTTGCATGACACCCTCCATAGGATTTGGATGAGTGGGCATTGGTCATACTGGAGGACTTTACGGAGAAAGGAAGGCACATTCCATAACCAGACATTAGGTCTGATAAGCATGTGGTATAGAGTATACAACAAAAAAAGGGCAGGAAACGGGCTGAGGAGGGAAGGGGAACACATCTCCCTGGGGCTGGTGTGCTAGACCAAGGTGCTTGCTTGCTCTTTTTCCCCAGAGTCAAGAGGGACCCCTCAAGGACTGCCAACAATCTGTCACAACCAGATCTGCCTGTGGGTGGAGGAAGTGGAGAGGGATGAAAGGGGAGTGAGTAAGGACCATGTATGATTTAGGGTGAAAATGGTAAACACATTTGTAGATTGGCAAATTAGGTTATCTGATATTATTGAGCAAATAATATTTCTGAGACCACAAAATCACAGGAAGATAATTTTAGGGCCACTTAAGAAAACAAATGGATTATCTATAATACACAAGAACACGCTATGGTTTTAAAATCACAAAGTAACCCACATTTTTAATAAAACTAAACCTCCAAACTAGAAATGTATTCTTAAACTCCACTAACCCCTGTATTTCCATGTACCAAGACAGTGTTTTCCAAAAACCCTAGATAGATAGGATCTTAAATGTGAATATTCAAGCCCTGAAATATTTTATATCTTTCCTACCCTCAAGTCTAAAAATCCCTATAGAAGATTAAAGCTTGTGTAAATCTAATCTAATACTTCTGGCTGCAATATAAGCTCCCACTTTCATTTATCTTCAGTGAGAAATTCTTGATGCTTGCTCTCCCTGTAATTGAGGAGCATGAGTTCATCCTTCGCCTTGCTCTCTTCTGGGCTCTCCCCCAATACCTAGGCATGTCTTTCTAGATGCTATCTTCCCATCTCATCATTTTTCATGCCTGTCATCTAGGCACTTACGAAGTTCATGAAAAGCCTTGTAAAAAGTATAATCCTGAGTCTATTCTTAGAAGAGGGTATTCCATACAAAAATCTCTAAAATCCTACAGACAGGAGAACATGGTGCATGCATTTAGAGCTCATAGCCAGGAGTTATACCCAGAGTTATGCTCATTTTGCACAACAGTGTTGCACAATCTTATTGGCTTCATAGAGAGCTGGATGCCAGAGAAAGATGGTAATTCTTCTATTCTGTCATTTCCATGTATATTCACTGCTTTGGGAGCAATTATTAATGTGCCATTTAATTAATCAATATTTCTGATGAGTTGAACATAAACATAGAAATGAAGTGACAGACAGCCTCACTAGACCCTTCCAGAGGCACTTGTAACAGGATTGGGATCTGGGCCATGAACCGAATGTTTGAAGCCAATGGAGGTTTATATCTGCAAGTGGGATGATAACTGGAGTCTTGGGTGGGACTCTTGGCAGGTTCACCTTGCTCCTAAATTTCTCACTGTAGCATCTTAATAAATGCCCAGTCTTTACACACACACACACACACACACACACACACACACACACACACACACCAGTTCAGTGAGGGAAATTCTACAAGTGCCAGATGACTTATAAGAGATCAGAGGAAGACACTGAATTCCAAACCTGCCCCTTCTATCACTATGTGATCCATGCAATAGAATGTTTTAAGCTATTTCTTCATGTGTAAAAAGAGGATAATAAAATTTTGTTTTCGGGAAATGAATCACATACAAAGTATTTATATGTCAGTCATATGAATAGAAGATATTGTCATAACTTATGCTCCCTAAAAAAATCTTAATTTAATAATTCTCATAAATTCTAATTAGTTCATTGATAAAAACTCAGAGCTAAGCGCTTTTTTTTTTTTTTTTAAATCTACAAACAGTGATGACTGCTTTTCCATGACTTGCAAATCTTTTCCCCAGGGAAAAGGGAGCTGAGAAGAATATATTAGGTCAACACAGCCAGGGTATGGTTACCTGTTATAAGGTGTGGAAAAGGTTGCCAAGACAACATCACGGCCATTAATGCGAATCACATCTGTAACTGCCTGGAGTATATTGAAATAAAAATGAGAGTCTCCAGGCACTGAGCAGTTCAGGCGAGCCTTCAGGAAAGATGTCCACTGCTTCTCCAGAACTCTCTGAGACCCTCCCATGTCATTCTTACAAACTTGAGCCACCCTGGGGAAAACAACCTGTGCAAAAAAGCATATAGGGAAAATGAAATACGGTTCTTTTCCTTCGGAGATGCAGAAGATCTTACAAGAATTTGCCTTTGCCTAACAACAGAAACAAAACAACAAGGTGCTTTTTAATACTGCATTTTTAAAATCAGTAACAAGAAAAGGAGAAGGAAAAAAAAAAAAAAAAAAAAAAAAAAAAAAAAGAAAACTGGAAAGGGGGAAAAAAAAAAAAACCTCTGCATAGAAACAGAATGTTTTAAAAGATAAGGCGATGGCATTTAATATGGAGCCATAAATCCTTCAGGGGATCAGCTCCCAGCTACATAAACTCATTTCCATACAGACTGCTTAGCTTTTATTTCCTCACACAAAAGCTCACTTTGTATGCACCACCTCTGCCATCCCCACTGGCTGCCTCTGGGGCCTGAAATCTCATACTTGGAGTGTGAGTTCCTCTAACCATGCGAGCCACCCTGGCATTTTATTTGTGCCCTCGAACTTAGTAGTGACCTTGATCTGCTGTCTGGTAAAGATAACCGAAATAAACACCCTCTAACCGTTCTCCTGCTCTCTATAATAAAACCAAGCAAGACACAGTTTGCCTAAAGACACTGGGTATATATTCTCTCTATGGAGTAACTCAATTAAAAGGGAAAATTGTACCTGGAAGCTACATCTCAAAAACACTTAGAATTCGGTATGAAAGCAACCAAACATCTGTTGGTTGGATCTTCAGTAGAAACATTCAAGAGGTTCCCTTTAATTTGTTACTGTTCTGAAAAAGTGGATCAGGCCTCCAGACAGCTAAGTCTGTTACTTCTACCCATCCTTGGTTGTGTTGTTACTTTACTGGGTTTACAACGTGCATTTCAAGGTCCTATATAACAACACTGGCTCAAAAATGGGTTTCTGAAAAGGCCACAGATGGAGTTCAGGGATGCTCTCTCCTCTTACCTTCCCCATGGTGTTGTACTCTACTGCAATCTCTCTGAAGAAGAAGTAGATATAGTCCCCATAATCCACTGCTTGGACAAAGTACGGTTCTGCAGACAAACGGGCACTTTAATTGGAGATATGTCACATAGTGTTAAGAGAATTTTAATCAAGTGTAGCCAAGGATGTGTTATTAATTGGAAGTGTAGGGCCATTAGACATGTGGTTAACACTAACCATTTCTAATGACTTCACAAGTGCCAGCGCTAGTGATTTCAGAAGGCACTTGAGACTACAAATTACATCTTTCACAAGCTTTGCAACCGAGAGTGAAGAATAAGTGCGTTTTGCAAATCTCTGTAGTTTTATTTTCCACACTGGAATGTGGAAATCTATTGCCTAGAGAAGTTTGTGCACATTACTCTGTCATCCTGACTCACACAGGGCTGTGAATAGCATCTTTCCTTTTCCGACCCCTTCATCCTCTGTTCCCTCCCATGAATGCTCTGTTCAGCTCCTTTCATGTGGGAGTCTGAAATGAGAGTTTGAGGCAGGGAACGATGAATGTAATGTATTCTATTGTCGTGGCACTGGTAGTTTTGCTAATACTCCAGAAACTCATGGGAAAGGGAAAGGGAGGGAAATAAATCAGTGGAAGCAAAAGATGCAATTTACATGGTTTTGTCTGCCAGAAACCATTACTAAAATGAACCTAAAGTCTGGTCCATCCAGATTCCAAATATCTCACCAGGTAAGCGTCCCCTCCTCCCTTTCTTCATTTATTTGCTTACCTTTCAACCACTTTGAATCATGTTTGACTGTCCTGAGGGTAGGGCTGTCTCCAAGACTCCTGTAAATAACTGCATCAATGGCCAGGAAGTCGGTTACTGTTGCAGAGTAGAGTTTTCCATCTTAGGAGAAAAGGGAAAGAGTTGAGCAGGGTACTGAGCAAAGCAGGGATGATGACAGTGAAGATGTCCCCCAGACTGCTTTCCTACATCAGGCAAATGAGACAGGACAACTGGGGAAAATCCAAGAGTCACTAGGAAAGCGCTTGGCCCACATTCCACGCTATTTAAATTGGGATCATGAAAAAAGGACATTTTTTTTTTTTTCATTTTAAAACTGCATGGCAATTTTCCCAAGCAACAGTGGCAGTGGCCACAGCTCAGGGAATGGAGTAAATGAAATATGTTATTTGCTTCACTTGATTAGAAGGACATTGACTGAAATCTCAAGGCCAAGGACCCTTGGATACTGCTACTGCCACTAATCCATGATCAACTGGATTAGGAGGGGACCCTGAGAAATGAGAAAGCAATTTTATCAAAACAGGTTTTAAATTCATTCAGAAATATAGATGATGTGATAGGTAAAGGGAATGGAAGAGGGAGGGCTCACACGGTCCAATTGTTGTCTACATGACTATGTCTTTCCTGAGCGTGACACAGCCTCTTTTCTTCAGTCATTGAGCCTGCCAATCTAACAGACCTTTGCTCCTAGGTTTCCAAAAATCAAAATGGAAGCATTGTTCTATAGAAGTGGCCAAAGCAAAGACTCAAAGGGTAGGGAGAGCTGAGTTCAAATTGGCCCTTCCTTAGGAATTCTCCATTTGGGGAAATACATTTGAGGGTGTGTCCAAAAGCAGAGAGAATGGAGAATATTGAAAGTGAGGCTATGAACTTCTGGCTCTTTTCTAGATTGGCAAATGCTCTCCAACACCCCCCCCCAATCAAATCAGATAGTTTAGAATAATAAGATCTATGCCAGTTAAATGGAAACCAAGTACATTGAAACTTTGGACAATTTATTCAGGTGGTGGGGATGATTCAGCAGTTCAAAACCCCAGTTTGATTCCCAGCACCCACATGATAGCTGACAACATCTGTAACACCAGTCCTAAGGGATCAGACCTCCAGGAGCACCAGGCACACATGTGGTATACAAATAAACATGTTCACAAAATACCTGTATACAAAAAGTAAACAAATAAAAATTTAAAGTCTCAATTAATTTTAAAAATCTATGTACATATGTGTATATGTAAGATATCTATGTGTGATACATATATGTATGCTTGTATATTTGTATGTGTGTGAATGTAGGTGTGCCTATTCCACAGCACACATGTAGAGGTCAGAGGACAACCTCATGTGCCAGTCCTCACATTCCACCTTGCTTGAAACAAGGTATTTTTGTTGTGAGCTTCTGTGTATGCTAGGCTAGCTGGACTTTGAACTCCTGAAGAGTCTCCTATGTCTGCCTCCCATTGTACTGTAGGAACACGCTTACACGGTTAGACCCAGCCTTATGTGGGTTCTGGGGATTCAAACTCAGGTCTTCAGGCTGGCATGGCAAGTGCTTTACCCACTTAGCCATTTCCTTAATGCTCTTTGATCCATTTTTAATAAATTTCTTGGTTCTATTAATTATACCTCAAAGACACTTACATATAAAATAGGGCTCTTTCAGTTTTCCCATAGAGTCTGTGATTGAGGGTTTTTTTTTTTAAGTTGAATAAACACCCTTAACATTTTATTTTAGATTCAATTATTTTATGTGTCCGAGTATTTTGCTAGCATGTAGGTATGTGCATCATGTGTGTATCTGGTGACCAGGGATGTCAAATAAAAGAATGCACAGGATCCCCTGGAACTAGAGTTATATATGCTTGTGGATACCACAGGGGTGCTGGGAAGCAAACACTGGTCCTCGAAAAGAGCAGCTCTTAACCTCTGAGCCATCTCTTGCTTGCAGCTGCTGGAAAAGATGCTGCAAGCAAGAGATGAGTTCTAACTAGGCTCATCATTAACAAGCACTTAGTTAAATTTCAAACATGCCAACGAAAAGTGATCCAATACCCCTCCAGCTTGGATAAGAAAACATGCCATTTTCCTTGTAGCTGTTGGAAGCTAGGCAGCCTTATTAAACTCTCTCCTTTCTAGTTCAGGCTGCCTGAAGACCTCTTTTGAGATTCCATTTAACATTGAGTCTTCCCCAGGCCTTGTTCCTGACTGTGCACTGCTGACAGTGCAGGGCTGCTTCAGAAGAAACCATGCTGTCCTAGGGGAGAACCTTGCTGTTTCTGCACTCTGTCCCTCCGGACCAACCCTCAATGGGAGACATTGAGAAGGAGCTAGGAACTAACTCTGCTTTATCATCAAAGTCTCAAAGTTCCCTCCCCACTTATGCTATGCCAGGTGTTTGCTGTCATGATGGGAAGGACAGCTGATGGCTACCTGCATCCTAGAACAATCGATCCCTGTTACACTAATTTTTCTCTCTCTACCCCTTCCACATACACAGCTGGCAATGAATTCCTAAGCAAACATCCCAATTAAAACATACCCATATACAGACATCCTACTAAATTGGAAAACGATGGCTTCCTAGCTACTTCTGTACACCCTGTTCATCATGAACGCGGGCGCCCATAGGCGATCAGCATCGCATTCTCAGCCTCTATGGTCATTTGGTCAGAGGTATGTGTGTAGCTGACTCAGATCACATTTGAGAAGTCAGATGCTCTATTGGTATGAATAAGCTTCTGGAAGCTTCCTTTTACTTCTATATGTAGACAACAAGACCTGCAGCCTTTCCGACTGAGGAAACAATAGTCTCAGGAAGAAGGAAATGGCCAGGAGAGACAGACCATAAAATACTGTCAACTTGACCTCTAGCATTAGAGCCACATTGATGGTTCTATATAAAGTTTTCCAGTGTCTGAGCCCAAACCTCCTTTCATCCATGCACTGCTACACGACCATCCTTTCCAGAAGGCACAAAAGCCTATGGGAGTGGACAGAGACCTCTGTTGAGAAGCAAAGCTACAGTCTCCATCCTAATTTCAAATGGAGGAGGCATTCTTAATTACAGTATTCACCAGAGAATCGGTACAACTGTGACTTCACAAACCCAAGTAGAGTCTCAGCCACAGGCCGAAAGATGCAAAAACAAATGTAATGAGAAGAAATTAGGTCATTTACCTGCGAACAGAGCGATGTTGGCATGTTTGGCATCATAAGGGCATCTGGCCATTCCACTAAATTCATCCCCAAAAGTTTCCAAAGTGTCGATCTAAATAAAATAACAGGATTGAATTACCACCAGGCACCAACAACAGGAGCAAAAACTGATATTTTAAAAGTGATTAACATGCAAAGTAATTCATAGGCACCTTGCAAATGCATCCTTGTAAATGCCCACTGAAGTAAATCTATTAGTTTCAGATAAGGAAATGGAGGCTTGGAGAGACAATTTACTTGATCAAGACTCTGTAATTAGAGTAGTGTGAAATCTGAGTATGTCTGTTTGGCTCTTAACCCATTACAACAGACAGATTTTCATATCCTAGTGGAATGGTCAGTAAATAAACCTTTTAAACTCAGGCATTTCTAAGGCACTTACTGGGAAAACCTAACTGCCCCAATTATCTTGTGAGTCGTGAACTCTATAGAGAGTGAGCTGCATTTCTGGATTTGTTTGCCTGATGAGTCCTTCCTTTGTGGATTAAATCCCAGTAGGAGACACTGGAATTTTTCCTCCAGTTGGTTGGCAGAGCACTGTGGCATCAGCCAAAGTGAAAAACACGCTTGCTAGCAAAACTCAGATGGCCTTTGCACCTACGTCATCCCAGCTTCAGAATGAACCGCAGAGAAGCTGAGGCCCCAAAGGTAAGGGGCCTATGTAGGTCACATACAGTGAGAGGAAGGATTCCTACCTGCTGATCCCACAGCCCAACCTGGGTCTGCTTCCTTTACACTAAAGAACAGAAGGTTATATATGAGGTGCTTGGGAATTATATTTGGTTCTTTGGTATGGAGAGATAAAGATGGAGGCAAAGAACAACAACAACAAAAAAGGAGAAAGAGAAGAAATTGAAATGTGTTAAACAGTGATTTTTTAAATTCCTATACAAAACCCTGGATGCCTTCCTTCTTTTGAACAGTAGAAGTCAATGAATGCCTTTCTCACTCATTAACTCATTAGGCTATTGCTCATCTATTACTCCACAGGTAACACATGCCAGGCCCGTTGGCATTTGTGGATGTGGCACAAATGCTACTGCTCTTTCCTCCGGACCACACTACAGCATATATCCCACCCGTCATGCACTCTCATGCAGCTGTGTGACTGTGCTCTGGCCAATGACATGTGAGTGTGTGCAACCCTGTTCTTTTGGCTTCCCCTGGACACCAGGGCCTTCAGAGAGGGCAAAGGTGGTGTCAGGAAAGACTCTGCTCTTCTGAACACCTTCAGGGAATAGACACATCTCACTGACCACACTTGACTGTGACGGAAACACAGAGGACACCTGCCACGTGAATCAGAAGTCAGCGCATCTTCACCAGTGTTGCTCTGGAGCCTGTTGTCTGCTCTCTCATTTCTCAGGATCTTACTAAGAGCAAAGAGCTCAACAGCAATTTCAAAACTGATCTCATTAACATTACCATTGTCACATCCATGTCTAGACTCCTCTTAGCTTAAACGTAGTTTGACCACCAATCTGAGCACCAGGAGAAGATAAACCTGAACAAAAGAGTCACCTGCAGGGCACCAAGCTGCCCACATCAAGGCACTTGAAGTCACTGCTAGAGACTGAGGATGTGACAGGTACTGTGCTATCTGGTCAGCTGCACCTTCTGCCCTAATGTCCCCATTGCATGGATGTGACGGGCCTTTCCTCTTTGTAAACACTTTGAGGTGGCCCCTGTTATCCTGTGTTTGTAAACTACATTTTAAGTCACATAAAAGAGCAGTGTTCAAAATGTAACTCTTTGTGTATGGGGGGGGGGGGTCAGGTGAGAAAGTCAAGTCAGAGATATCCTTTAAAGCAATGTATTCTCCATCACCAGAACATTTCTCACAAGGGTCTTTTTTGAATACTTTATCCCAACAAGAGCTTTTCTGTTGAACTGCACAGACGGTGTGGTCTGTGGGTCTGGCAGGTACTCAGCAATGGACCCCTGAATGCACCACACAATTGAAATGACCTGTTCCAAGTGGGGCCCTCTCTAATCCTAACCTCAAGAAGGAAAACAGAAGAGGGTTATGAGGGGATACAGCTACAGCAGATTCAAAGGAGGAAGCAATAAAGAATGATGTACCGACTTGTGTGTTTGGGAAAGCCTAGCGACTAAACAAAATAAATACCATGGTGAAATACCTCTTTCCACGAAGAAAATTAATCCTTGCAGTCACCAGATCTCTGAATAAGACCCCAGCTCCTGGGAAATTAAATCGCCATAAGAGGACAGATAGCTGTAGAAAGAATTCGCCTGACTTTTGTAGAAAGTTCAGGAGGTCTACAGCCCCAAAGGAGAAAAGGAGTAGAGCTTTAAGAAATAGTGCAAAGCCCTCAAATTCTCCCCTGGATAATTTTATTGGGGTCTAAAACCTTTCTAACACATCCAACTTTATTTTAAAATTAAAAAAAAAAAGTATAAATTAGATGGTGGTGAGTTGTGAGATCTTTTTCAGGTGAGCCTGCTGGATGATGCCAGCCCGCCATGCTTTTCCCCATGTCATTAAGGTATTGCTTTATGAGGACTAAACCCAATATATTTCTCTCCACATAGCTCCTGAAAGGAAATTTCTGTCCATTATCTTGCTGGACATGTCTACTCATGGTATATGGGTGCTACTTGTCATCCTCATTGGGTTTTCTGTCAACTTGACATAAGCTATGGTCATCTGAGAAGAGGGAACCTCATTTGAGAAAATGCTCACATCAGATTAACCTGTAGGAAAGTCTATGGAGGAATTCTCTTGATCGATGATTAATGTGGAATGGGAGGGAGCTCACTGTGGGTGGTGCCACCCCTGGGCAGGTGGTCCTGGATTGAAAATGAAATCAGATTGAGCAAGCCATGGGGAGCAAGCTAGCCAATAAACAGCATTTCTCCATGGCCTTTGCTTCAGGTCCCGCCACCAGGCTCCCTTCTTAACTCCCCTCATTGATGGACTGACAAGTAACTGGAGTAGTAAGCCTAAATAAAATCTTTCCTCCCCAAGTTGCTTTTGGCCACACAATAGAAGCACTAAAACACCTGCACAGCACCAGCCATAAACTACATTGTAGAACTCCCATCTGAGTGCCCTATGAATCCTCTATTGCACCCAGACTGGAGGCAGCCAGCCCCATTACCTACTCTTCAGGAGACAGTCTAGGAGGCCATATTAACACATCTCTCTCCATCCTTGTCTGTGCTTCTCAACAATTAATAGGTCTCCCTGGGTTATTTTGATATTTTGTTTTCTGTTTTTGTTTTTCCTGAATCTATTTCCTTTCCTTTATTCCCCAGGCTTGTCATTGTCCCTTGTCACTTCAGAATCCAACATTTCAGAGCTAGATGAAGTTTCCTAAGCTCAGTTGGTTATTTCTTGTGCCATATCTTTGCTTGCAAAGCTCTTCCTACCCAGAATGCCTTCAGCCTTCATTTGCCTGACTTCCTACTGCCTCGTTCATGATTTACCCAACCAGGTGCCAGCTTGGGAGGCACTATTTCAGGTTCTAAGCAGCCATAAATGTGTTTCATGCCCTTGGCAGAGTCTCTGTGTTGTGTTAACACTCCAGCTATGAGACCAGCAGGTGGGAACATTTTAGAAGGGTCTCATCTGCCTCCTTCCTACAGCTCCCTCGCTTTTACCTCACGTGAGGGTAATGGCATTTGTGTTGTGTTTCCTTTACCCCTCACATCATTTGATCACAGAGGCAACTCCATGGACACGTAGCATTCTTCCTGAGGTTTGGCCTCCCTTGTGGCCAACACTTCTCTGCTTTTATAGGCTCAGTGCTTGGCCACTATAGAAAAATCAACATACATTTCCTGAGGAAAAAATGTTGCACAAAGAAAAGCTAATGGGGGGTGGGGGAGCAAGATGTTACAGCTCTGGAACCTCGGTTCCAGCAGCTCAGGGGCTCTTCCGTTCCTCAACTATAAACTATCTCCGCTGCCCCCACTTGATTTCCTGAGCCTTTGAGGCCCATTCTTTTTTCCTTTTCCTCTTCTTGTACACAGGCCAAAGCAAGTAAGGCCATGGCCAAGTGAGCTGGTACAAAAATGGAATTAAATTCCTCTCTTGAAAACCTTGCAATTGGAGTGTCTACGGTTTCACGCAGCGTGCTTTGGCAATATCTTTTACAATAGGAATTCCTCACCAATTAAGTGAGTTTTTGTCCTCGCAGAGGTAATACAGGAGTGGGAGGGACAAAAAGCAGAAGAGAGGAAATCCACACGCCATTATGCGCGGTAAGTACACAGTCTCTGGAACAATGAAGAATGGAGACTTCTAGAAATCACCTTGACGAGAAAGGCTCTTTAGAGGTATCAATCAATTCTGAATGAACAGGAAGCTTGGGACTCTGATCAGGATCACTATCTTGGAGCAATACACAAACTGGGCAAGTGAAGGGAACCCATTCAGTGTTGAGTGAGCCCTCTGCAGTGGCTGCAGGTATGGTGACAGTAAATTACGAAACACCTCCTGGCAGTGTGCTTACAAACAGACAAGTGACATTTACCTTGTAGTTTCTGCAGGAAGGGTTGAAGGCATTGGTTCCACAGACAAACAGGGTATCGTCATTCTTCTTGAGAAGAACTTTAATGAAATTGTGACACTCATCCTGAAACAAAATTCAAACTGGTTTAACAGAACCCATTCAGCACAAAAGCCCATTCATCACCCTGCACCCATGATCCGACAACAGAAGGATCACTGTGAGGACAGCTCAGTGTGTAAGGTTACAGAGCCAAGATCCCAAGTTACATGGTCAAGTAGTTGCCGATCAAGTTGTTAACCAAGAAAAGACGTCCATGATTATTTCAACAGTAAATATAAACATGGCAGAGAATGATAACCTACACTTCTTTTATGTCTCAGAAGAAAGGAGACCTTAATGCAGCAACCTCCCACCCTATTAATTTTGATGCCACAATGTTCCAGGGTTCCTCTACATGGTCATTTGACAAAAAGCGAGTCTGCTGTGCTTTCCCTGTGTGCTCAACAGACTGGCCTGCAAGGTGGGTTCCTGGGACAGGCCACTCAGAAGAGTCAGGAGACCAGCTGAGTCAGTAATCCCTACTGTGCTCAAGGAGCGGTTCTCAAAGCAGTCCTGGCAGCTGTTGTAAGGTTTCATCACATTAAGTGCAAACTATTTTTGCAAATTAAAGCTTTCAATAAGTTGATGGAAAAAGCAATTACTGGGGAAAGGGGACTAGCAAGATGCATTCAAATCATAGTGTACGGCTGGAGATAACCGTCAAAAATGGAACCCGAAGTGGCAGCCGCAGGAGAAATGAAAATTGCCTACCTTATGTTTCCCCTTCATCCTGCACGTGTCTACATCAGCCTGTCTAGATTTCCATGTCAGTTTCTGCAGGGATCAAGAAAGAAATCAATTAGGGCCCAGAGCATTTGATTTTAGAAGTAAAAGTTCCCTTGGGGCAACTAGAGGCTGAACATATATTTATTGAAAGCTTTCTACACCCTTTCCCCATGATTAATGCACCACCACAACAAGATATTAGAGAAGGGAACTTTTTGCTAAGTCTTGAATTCTTATCTGTTCATTAAACTACAAGATGGTCTCTTTTGTGAGATGAAGATAAAGGAGAAGGTTGGTTGGGAATTTCATTTTGAAATATCCAAAGCAAAACTTGCAAATTGTGTTCATTTTGGTAAAGTGGGTGTCGCTGACATTTTTGTTCAGTTCATCAATCAGTCTTTGTAAAAATGACCTTTCCCCTAAAATATGGAGATCATTTTCTTAAACATAGAGTGGACATTCACTGCAGGCAGACAGCCATTTAATTCTGGTTGTGCTCCTGCGTGTAAATTCACAGGCTAAGGCTCTTACTTGTACCACACAGTTTTATTAACTAAAATGTCCCCATGTGGAAATCATGGGGAAAGCTTATGTGAGGCTTTATGTATGGCTGGATAATGATTAAATTCTAGAACCTTACCGGACAAGTAACTTACATGCTGAGTGACAAAGAAGCATTAACACTGGGACAGGTTTTAATATGTTTTAGGGACAGAAATCTATTTATGAAAATCGATGTTTTCTTGGGCAATCATGCCATTTTTTATTTTAAAATTTTACAAATCCCCAACATGTATATGCACACATTGATGAAATATGTGTTTTGGAATGTGTAATAAACCCTCACTAACCACTAAAGCAGACTTTACAAAAGGTGTGCTGGCATTAGCCATACCATCCCAATCACTGCATTTATGGTACATGTTTCCTAACGGCCCCCATTTAGAATGATGGTTTTAAGGACAACTTACTTTGCTACAATAAATTTCTTCTGTGTGGGATGTGTCTATATCAACAGTATAAATATGGTCTCTGTAAAAGAAAAAATAATACAAAGTCAAACACAAGAGTTAAAACAGCTCATTATCTACAAAATATGTTTATTATGTTTGGAGCAGGTAAACCGTGATCATATTTGTTTAAAAAAAATAAAAGGAAGAAAGGAAGGGAGGGAGAGAGGGGAGGAGGAAGGGAGAGAAGGATGGATGAAGAAAAGATAACAGCCAGACTATGGTGGCGCTCGCCTTTAATTCCAGCACTTGGGAGGCAGAGGCAGGCAGATATCTTGAGTTCAATGCCGGCCTGGTCTACAAAGCAAGCTCCAGGACACACAAAGCAACACAGATAAACCCTGTCTGGAGAAAAAACAAAAACAACAACAAAAAAACAAAACCAAGATACCCACTTGTTAGAAAAAGGAAAGAATTTAGTGTGAGAGAGTATCTTGAACCACATTTAGTACTTGATTTATTGTGGCATCAGGTTGATATACAAAAACTTCCAGTAACTATTCTGATCTCAGAACTACATAACCATGTGTACAGAGCTGAGCTGGGAGGATCTGCAGGTTAATGTGGTCCACAGGCTGGAGCACAGATGGGTTCACATTGGCTCTCAGTATCTTCAAACCCATGCACAAGTTGCTTGGTATTCAACATGCTACATGTGATAATTTGATAGACAAGATGGAAGAAAGGTAAAATTATTTCCATAAGCTACCCTTCCTTCCGAAAGACCACATTCAAAGTATAAATGTACTTGAGCTAAGGTTGACACTCTGTGCCTCTGCTCACCCTCTTAGTTTGCTCCGAGTTTGGTTGTCTCTACAGTTTTTGCTGCCAACCTCCCCTTGGAAGGAGAGCCCTGGGATCAGCAGCTCAGGTGAGGGGCTATATTTAAACCTCCCTTCTGTGTGAGCAGAGTACAAGGGTCTTTTTGTCTGGAATTCCAAAGAGAGAGAAGAAAAGAAACACACTCAATGGAGGAGGTGGGGGGCGCTGGTGGGGGCAAATCCAAACAGCTCATTTTCCCTTGAAATAACATTGACTTTTTCTAAAATGCAGGAAGTCCTGGGGCTGGAAAATTATCCACAGCTTTAAACCAGGACCTCAGGGCTCCTGTGCAGACTTTCAAACCTCCTCATTAGCTAGAAAGAAACAAGGGCTGGGGGAGAGGAAAAGAAAGCAATTATTTATAAGATTCATATATATTTGTGTGTATATGGATATATTCAAATATGCACATATACATATATATTCCATTTTTGAGACGTCTGTTTACTATGTTTTTGGAGAAAACACAACAGAGAAAAATCAAAACGGTTTCTCACATGGATGTAAAAGGAGGAAGCAGGAGTGTTGGCTTACAGATTTCCAAGGCCTGCTTCTGAACCTTGTGTACGCTTGTGTGTGGGTGTGTGCATTTGGCGGAGAAAGACGTGTGTTTGTGTCAGAGTAGGGAAGGGGGGGAGCAAGGCACCCGCTTTACCAACAGCTGGACTGGGAAGCTTCTCCCAGCTTTAGTAGGGTGCCAGAATTCCTCTGCCCTTTAATTTTGAGGCTGTTTATTGCCTTTGTTTATTACTTGCTTGACTTTATGATGGCGCTGTGGTCAGGCGCATTAGCCTGGAATTGCCTGTGACATTGGCATTGGGTTTGAGATGACTGGAAGAAGCCTTTCCTTGCCCCCTTTCCCTTCAAACTCAAGTAGAAGCTGAATATATGAATTGTAAATTAACCACTGATTAATATGCATTGGCAGCTCCTCAGAAAGCCCTCAGATTGCCCCCTTTTGGCATGGTCTGTTTATGTTAATTAGCAGTTTAGAGATTAAAAAGAAAGAAGAATTTACAAAGTGGATAATAATAAGGAAGAATTGGAAGGCGTTCTTGCCACCAAACCCCATCAGTCCCCAGGGTTCTGGATGGGACTTGGCTTTCGATTGCTGACACCAATTGTCTGGGAGAACTGGGAAACCTTTTAAAAACAATTCCATGAGTGAAATCTCCTCTGCACAGAGGCAATCTTTTTCAATATCTCAAAGATCACATGGGCCCAGTGGATAAAAATGGGGCTTTATAGTCAGCTATAATCCATGGTGAAGATCATTTCCAGATGCCCACGTGCATCCTAGGGCTCATATGATGCTCTTGTATCTGAATGTAGGGACTGGAATTCAAACTGACTCAATCCTAGGACTTCCTCTTTCCCAGTCCATTGAACACCACTAAATTGTGTTGCCATGGCTTGAGTCTCAGAGAAGGACTGAACTTTAAATCATGTTAAGGTGCTACCTAGGAACCTGGATGTCTCAGGCAAATGTGAAATTAAAAGGAGGGGCCCTAAATACAGCAAGCACAAAACTCCTTTGGGGATTTTTCAGAGTGTTATATAGAAGGGAAGTGGCTGGGTATGGAGACAATGTTCATGACAATGTTGAGGGGCTATAGACACTTGACCTTCAATGGCAAATCGGTTCCATTGCTTTGGAAAGAAACACATTCCTTTTTTTTCTATTTCCTCCTTTTTCTTTCCTTAAGGTAGAGAGTTCAGATGAAACTGTCTTGGTTTTAATGAGCTGGAATAATGAATGCTTCTTAGGCTACACAACACTTGGCCTCTAATGTCCCTGTTGCCCTGGTCCTGTAGCACACACCTATGCTAAATCACTGGCTACAAGGGCCATCTGTTACAATCATTTTTGTTTCCAGTGACTAGATTGTGATGAGAACAATTTACAGGAGATACCCAAGTCAACCTATTTTTCACAGGTTTGGTATTTAACCATTTGTTCTGACCAGTCTTTTTTTAATTTGTGACATAAACGTAAGCTCACTTTACTACATGTAGGAAATTAAGAAGGATACCAAAGAAGGCGCTGCCGTGCTTCCAAAGACGTAGGTACTGAGCCCTCCCTGGAATGTTCTGTAATGAATACCCACAAAGGCTGTTCTTGGGCAACGGCTATTAGGAAGTTATTAACTCAAGACAAAATGCTTCCTTTCACAGTGGGCAGCACAGCACAGGGCATGGTTGGCCACGTGGCCATCAAAGCCCTGCCACTCTAGTTCAAGTACTGCAGCTTCTACAGGGCCCACTTATTTCCCAGCTCTGTCCCTTGGGATCCTTCTACAGGAAGTGGAGGGAAGAAGGCAGTTGGTCTTTTCTCATGAGGTTGTTTCTGGGATCCAGCAAACCAACATTTATGAAATTATGACTACATCATTTGCTTGTATGGACATGCCAGCAGGAATAGCGCTTGTGAAGGCTTTTATTGTTGTTATTGTTTGAGTGCTCAGTGTTGCTTATTGTGACCAAATGTGTGCTGGGCTTGGGATAGTTCCATCACACTCATGGCTTTTCACTTTCTATTACAGAGATTGTGGCCCACATCTAAACTATCAAGGAATCTGGTAACTGAGGTTACTTTAGATGCTCTGGTCCTGGGCTCTCAGCCACATATAAACATTACCTGTATTCTTTCCATCATGAAATAATTCACCTGTTTAGAGTCAGGAAAGTCCCCAGAGGAACAACTCAGGATTGGTAAGTCCCCAGAGAAAAACTTAGGACAGTCTTCCCCTGGAATGAGTTACATGTCCTAAACCTGGTTGGAATTGTGAAATAGGTTGACTCGGGCATCTCTTATGAATTGTTGTCGTCACAGTTTCACACCTTGTTGGAATCACCACGGACTTCCTACAGACACTTGCCTAACCTCTCACTTGGCAGAGGGCACATAAATCCAGAGAAGCTGTGGCACAGCTGAACCATGGGCAGGATTAGAACAACAGCCTAAATCCATGTGGCCCTTGTCTAACTGGCATTCTTATCATTCCACTCAGCCTCAGGATATAAGCATATCCAGATGTCATTTCCCAAGGGATGAGTAGAGCTTATTATTTCTATTATTACTGTTAAATACTTATGAAACATATACAGTATTGGGTTTTCTCTGGTCACCACTACCACTCTGTCAAATAATGGCAAATATTCATTGAAAAAAATGAAACAGGCCTAATAGATACACCTCTGCACACTGTGTAACACAGGTTAATACATCCAAGTTGATTTAACAAACAACTACCAAATGATGGAGCTCTGCTATGTACTTGGATAAATATTTGCATATATGTTCAAGAAACACAGTGGATTATTTGAGCTTTAAGCTCCAAAATATGCAATTATCCCTCCAAAAACCCACATAAGGTTAAACAGACATAGAAAACTCCAAAAAGGTTAAACAGAGGAAATCTTGAAAGAATGATTGCTCGACAAACACAAGTAGCTTTTAGTATAAATAGCATAGTTAGGAAGCCCGAGTTCTTAGAAAGATGCACCACTGGTGAGTGGGGACTGGCACCTTCAGGTCCTCTGAAGATGCGAGTGAGGAAGGTCACTTACCGAGCAGCAATGTAGAGAGTTCTGTTCATGACCATGATCATCTGGATGTCCAGCCTGTGCCTCTGTGTGGTGTTCCGTCCTGGCTTGTGGCCCACAAACACCGGATACTGTTTTGTATCTGTGAAAAGAGGAGATGGGGTAAGAGAGGGAAATGCAGATCAAGCCAAGAATCAACGGGGTAGAGTGAGGAGGGGGTGGACCGCAGAACAAAACCATGTTTAATTCAGACCATGCCACCATTTCCCCATCTCTCGCAAAGCTGTTATTTCAGGAAACTCTGTGAAAGTGCTCCTTAAGGATGATCGAGTTACACTTCGGTTCCAGATGATAATGAACCTGGTCTTAACATTTCTAAGCGTCACCATTTCTGAGGGTTAAACTTGCTGGCCAACCCTTTGCATGGAGGTGGTGCTTTTTTCTTCCCTGGGCTTCTTTTCATCTTCTGTAGAGTGCTAAGCCTGAGGGGAGGGGGGGCAGGCTGCCAAAGATCTTGTCTCCGGACAAAACTATTTCAAAGCTGCCTTCCCCATCAATCACCACAAAGGCAATGTGGTCTGGAGGCGAGAGCCTTCATCCAGGAGCCAGAAGAAAAATACAGTCTCCACAGGCGCCCGGGTGGAATAATCTACCATTGAGGGCAGCCCTGCTAAGTTGGTTGGCATTCTAGGAACTGTGGGAAGTGCACTCTGGAGCTAAGCAATTGGCTAATCTCACAGAAAAGTGGGCTTTGACAGGAGAGGGCCAAAGTAAGCCTAGCCAGTCGGCTGATCTGGCAGAGTACACGAGAATATTTCTTTCCTTTAGTGCTCTTTGGCCGAGTCTGTGATGTGCAATAATATCTGACCTTTAGAAATACCTGTATCTCAACGTCTCTCTGTTTCTAAACCTATAGTCTCCAGAGCATTGGAAATCCTCCAAGAAGAGGAAAGAAAGATGAGTCACATTCAAAAGGCCATGTTTTCTGGCGAGGTATGGGGGTGTAACTATGAGTGGAAAACCATTCACAGATTCATGCCTGGCTGACTACACTTTAACCTTGTGGCATCTGGGCTTTCTCACAACAGTGTGTTACTAGAGAGCTTCCACATATTTTACTCCCAAACAAGCCTAGTGTACAATTATCTTAAGCTTTTCCTTCCATGCTTCTTTAATTTCATGTGTGTGGCCATCATGAGGGTTGCTATGGTAACTCCTACATCTGTTATCATGCTATTGTGTGACCATTAATGACTGTCAACAGCATAGGAGGGCTGGAGTCCCTGTTGTAGTGGGACACCAAAGATAGAAATCTTACATTGAATGAAGATAAATGCATGGTTATTTGGTTCCCAATCCTAAGTGTGGGGAGTGTGGCTATTTCAGAAGTCATACCATTGACCTTCGACCCTTTCTCCTTTCATTGTTATACATTCCAGTCTTGGCTCCTCATTTTTGCATATAAAATTATCTCCTTTTCCAGAAATTCCAGCTGGAAGCAGCACACTGGTGTCCCTACTTCCTATCCTTTAGGCATGTTCCACTCAGTGTTTGTTTTGGCATAATTACATGGAAAACGGTACTTGAGGGAAATGTCTTTACCTCTGCTGGAACACAACCGTCTCTTGGAGGGCAGACAATACAATAGGAAATGGGATGTTCTTTCTTAAACAGAGTAAGGCTTTCCTCTTTGAGGGAGTCACCAAAAGTTTTAATGGTGTCAGTATCTACCTCTGACAAAATAAAGTTATAAGTGGAATAAATCTTGTATAAATTAAAAACCAGTCTTTCCCTGAGACTAGCAAACTTCTAAGGCTTTTTTAGGTCTTTCTCTCTCTCTCTCTTAAGCAATTCAAAACACCTGTTATTATTTTCTATGACGCTTTATAATGTTACAGGCTACAGATGGAAACACACGACACTGGGTCCTTCAGCAAATGACAGCAGTATTCTCCCCTGTAGCTGGTGTGAAGGCAGGAGCAGGCTTCTGTGTGTAGGGGGAGACTTCATCAGGCGGCGGAAGGGCATTTCAAAGACTGGTCCATGTTGCTACAATACCTGATGAAGCTCTTGACAGTGGCCCCATCCATCTAACTCCACCCATGTGGCCACCTGTGAACGACCTACCTCTATCAGGCGTGCACTTTACAACTACTGAGCCTCTCCCTGCTTCCTTTTGACTTTTGGTTAGGCTGATGCAGGCTAAAAGTCTTCAAAAGCCGATGCCAGTGAGTGAGTGTGTGATACTTACAGTTGCCATGCGAAATACTGATTGGCTCAGAGTCTTCTGGGAAACCAGCCCCAGTGCTGTGTAGCAGTGTGAGACATAGCAGCAAGGCTTCTGGTCTCATAGTAGTTCAGCGGGGAGACGTATTTCTCTACTTCACCCTGCCAGAGAGCAAAGGAGGCCGCTTAGTTTTCTTTCTCAAGTCAGCTTCATTCAATTCTATAAAGTGCAATGGTCTTGAAGATAATTCAAGACAACAGGGCTTCTGTGTTCTACCCTGTCCACAATGAATTCACAGATTACAGCATTTTACATAAAGACAGTACCCAGTAGCCACTGGGCCCAATGTCACCCTGATACCACACACTTTTGCAAAGCTTTTTGCAAAAAAGCCTCCTTCCTTTGACTAAGCCATTACAGGCCACTGTGGCTACAATCTCACAATTATGAAACTCTGGATTCCAAAATGTATGAACAACTAAAAGCAATTTTCTTTCCTTTTCCTTTAGTGAGGCCAAAAATTGCCATCTCCACATGTGGCTTTTGTTTGTTTGTTTGTTGTTGTTGTTTTAGCCAGTCAAGAATCTCTCAGAAATGTGATGGCATTGTCAGTAGTGAAGAATGCTGATAACGGATGATGATCTAGAATTCCAGCTTCGAAATACATGTCATATTGCGACCCAAAAACAGTATAATGTACCTCTGCCTCTAGCATGCCACACACATACTCATAAAACACACAACTGACCCCATTTTCTTATTTCCTATGGAACCCCTTACTTAGTTGAGATTTTTCAACTCTTGTTTATGTCATTTTACAGTGACCTTAGACCTAAATAAAAATTACACAATCTAGTTTTTATTTTAATACAATATAATTGTATTGATTTCCTTCTTGCTTTTCTTCCTTTAAGCCCCTCCCATGCTTCTCTTACTCTCTTTTCTTTGCTAGATACACACACATACATATAGAAATACAGAAATACAATGTGCTGGGTCTGATTGGTGTCACTTGTATTATATGATTTTGGGGCTGACCACTCTATATTAGGGGGCTTGTCCCTGGAGAAGACTTATTCTCACACTCTCTCTTATCCATTGTTAGTTGCCTGTAGTTCTGACAAAGGGTGGGGGTACACAAATCTATTTTTATAAAGAAGCACACCATTTCTAGTTCTGTGAAGAGAATCTGAATTGGCATCTTGGGACAGCATCACTGATGTTTTAAAGAGAATCATATCTCTGTACATTTGCTCCACAGTGATATTGTTCTGCTTAGCTGTATTGTTAGAGCAGCTTGTATGTGTAGAAAGATTCTTCTAGGGCTTAGGTAGAAAAGTCCTAGGGAGTTGCTGGATACAGTGAGCACAGCCTCATGCTACAGTACATACCACATCATTCTCAGGAGTATTTCAAGTAAGCATTGATATATCAGGGAAATTAACGTAAAATGGGACTTCATTTCATCTTTCTAGAGTAGTGTTCTTTGAAGCAGCCTGCCAAAGATTATCTTTTCTGAACAAAGCTATTCTACAGTAGTCCATCAGTCACTTAAGATTTGTGTTTAGAAATGTCAAACCTAGTAACCTAAATGTCTTTGAAAATTAATTTGGCAAACAAACTGCTAACTTACATTTTGCGGAACACCACTTACTATTAGATACCTATGTCTCTTTTCTTCATGCCAAAAAAAGCATTAACAAGTCCCGGGTGCACTGTAGGTTATAATTTCACAGACACAGCTGGGTCTTAATCATTTCTTCAACTGAAAAGTGCACATTAATTAATTTGCTTTATCTCAAAAAAGAAAAAAAAAATCAAAGAGGGAAAGAAGCTGAGAGAAGAGCCTAAATAGTTCTATATCGCTATCTCTGATGTAAAGATTAAAACTGAACTTTGAATGATTACTTGCTCCAAAAAGCAATCAATTACCAAGAGACATAGCATGTATTTACAGGACGGTTAACAACAGGTCTATTCATTCCCTTCTTTGCCAGTACTCCCTAATCTGGGGCATCTGCAGCTCCAGGGTCCCCCATTTGCTTCTCAGGAGCCCTGAGAACTATAACATTAAGGGGGAGCAATCAGTAACAAGAGCAACTAAAACACAACACACATCGGCCGTTACATTTTGGGTGAGAAAACGCAAGGCAAGCAGCAGCAGCAACATTACTGAGGGCAGAATTACAGCATGAGTTCACAGTGTGGAGCAAGAATAAAGGAGACTAGGAAGGCAGAGCCGCCTTCCCTTAGAATGTTGGGAAATATATAATATATGCTTTTAAAGATTTTTTTCTTGACATGACTAAGGAGCCTGTACCCTTCCACAACTCCATCCACCCCTGCACAAATGTCCTACAAGCTCACGACAAAGCCCCACTACTTTTATTATTATTATTATATCTTAATTCCTTCTACCTTAAGATCACATAGGGCAAAATTCTCAAGCCCTGAAGTTGGCCAGAAGAACAACACAAGAAACCTGTTATGCAATTCCACAGCTTCTTTTAACGCTTGTATACAGTCAGCGTCACAACTCAGATATGTCTCAGGTTTACAGTTGGGCTCTCTGCCAGCAAAGAATAGTTGTTTTCTACCTTCCGGTCATCAGGTGGTCAGTGAGTTCATCACAGGGATGACAGTGCTTTAAATTAGCCAGCCTTCCCAAGTTGGTCTTGTGGGACCAGTGTCCACACACATAAATGAGAGGATGCTGCTTGAGTTATGACCACATAGGGTTGCTCTACCCACTGTCTGCAAGTCCAGCTGTAGGAAATAGGTGGGTACTATTGGAGCTGACTGTACAGAGTCGACTTTTGTCTGTTTTGGTACACACAATGCAATCTTCCAGCATGCTCACACCCAAAGGTTTTAATAGCAAGTGACAACGATGTGGAAAACATGTCTTGGAAATCCTAGTGTAGCTCTGAATAGAGGGAAGGAATAATAGTAAAGTAGTAGGGCTTCTCCTCAGGAACAAAGTTAATCGCTATGAAGGGTCAGGAATGCCTTTTAAGAACACATTTTCTACTGACATCATAGGCAGTTTTAATGGTAATCAATAATTCACACTGTCATTGTTAGGAGAAGGGGGACGCCAGTAGTGAGACTCTAGGAAACTCAGGCGGGCTGGCTCTCCGTTTTGTCACCTGTAAAATGAAAGGACAGGAAATGGAACGGATTCTAGAAGCCCTCAAGGTTGACACTGTACTCCAGTGAGGCTGCGGGGAAGACAAGAAGGGAGCAGAGGGGAGAAAGGGGATGAGGAGGCACAGCACAGGGAGGGACACTGAGTCAGGCCACCCCACTGCCTTTTTAAGCTAAGGAGGGAGAAAGAATGTGAGGAGCAACCAAGAGCCCAAAGCTAGGAGAGGTCCTGAGGCGGGAAGAGCCAGGCTCTGGGATTATGACAAGCCAGTCAGAAAAAGTTCCAAGCACCTGGGAAGTCTGTTCTCCAAGTCAGTCATGGTAACGGACTCCTCTCTCCCGCCAGTTCCTCCTGATTATTCCCAGTGTGTGGACAGAGAACTGTAGAGACAATCTGCATGCCCACGTGTGGTACTGTGTGGGATGACCGGGAGGGGTGGGGAGGAAAACCCTAGGGTCACGCTAGTGCAGCAGTTCTCAACCTGTGGGTCATGACCACTTTGGAGTCGAAGGACTCTTTCGCAGGGATCACCTAAGAGCACCAGAAAACACAGACATTTACATTATGATTCATAACAGTAGCAAAATTACAGTTATGAAGTAGCAACAAAAGCAATTTTATGGCTTGGGTCACCACAACATGAGGAACTGTGTTAAAGGGCCGCAGCCCTGGGAAAGTTGAGAACCACTGATCTAGTAGATTCCGATGGACGCAGTGTAGAAGGGTGTGTTCACATTTCATCTGCAGGTGCCAATAACCGCCAGCGTGCCATGCTGCCTCATCTCATCATCAGGGCCAAGTGTGAGTCTGACAAACACTTCTAACGTGCCCAGAGACAGCACTACCATCGGCACCTAAACACATTCAATATTTGACTGGTGTTTACACTGAGCATAATCACCTAATTATGGCAATCCTGATGGACAGGCCTTACCGTGCCCGCATAAGGAAACTGAGGCCCAGGCAGGCAGGAGGCTAAGTTACATTTCTAGCTTGCACACAGTAAACATTTACAGCACATTAGGAAAAGATTTCGTAACAGCACAATAATCAAAGTGGAGAGAGCTAGCTCTCAAACCCAGATCTGTGTGACTGCCTGCCATGTTTATGTGCTTCCTAGGACATCAAGGAGAGGGAACAGGAAAGGGTAAGGGAAGGCACAAGTAGAAACTTCACTTAAGGTAATAACCAAATACTGGTTGATGTATCTTTGCTAACATGGTTAGAGTAGCTGAAAGTTCCTAATGGCTTTAGTCATAAAAATCCGTAAGCTGAGCACTAGTCTCTCTCACACATGTATGCGCTCAGGTTCATTCCACTTTTATGGGCCTGTGATCGCAGGCCTAAGGTGATGGGCAGATATAAATGCTTCTCCGCCACTGATTTAGGAGGAATTGATTATGTCAGGACAACACTGTGTTAAGTGGGACCACTCAGGGTCCCTGCTTCCTGCCTCCCTTGACGGTGATGTTTTACAATCAGATGTTTTAGAGAAAATAGTGCCATTTGTTACGGGCAAGAATGAGGCTGCCTGTACAGACTGGATATCTCCCGAGCCAGAGAGGAACCCACTCCAGCAGAGAGGTGAGGAAGCAGGTGTTTGTGAGAGAACCCAGCTCACGGAATGCTGGAGACCTGTCAGAGATAGAAACTGCTGATTATTCTCATACTAGAAGAAAATGTAAAGAATTAATGAGCGTTTAAATAGTAGGTGTCCTTCACTGACCTGGACAGCCCCGCTTCAAGGACTGCAGGCAGCATGAGAAAAGAGGAGGGTGCTGCTATCCGCAGGATGTGCAGCTGGGTGAAGAAAGAACACTTCCCGAATGAAATTAGAAACAACTTGGGCCCATTGATTGTGGTAGAAATGGTCACAGTATGCAGGCTTCAGGGGACCATGAGCTAGAACCACATGCTCAGTGATGTTTGCAGTAAGAGATAAAGGTTACAGAGAAGGAGAAAAATAGCTCTAGACTCTCAATAAAGCATCAACCTCTTAATACAGCATCATTT